TTCTGTCCCTTGTGAACCGAATGTTCCTGGGCTTTTACTGACTTCTCTGCTCCTTAATATTCCCACATGTTGGGTGGGCACTATTAACAATGTCTACGATGAAAGGTCTGTCAAGTGAAATGTGGAAGATTTGCTTGGTCCATAACGAGTGTTATCCAGTTCTGGGGACACTGGGGGGAAGAGGCGGTCAGTAGCATCATTGGAGCTCTGGGGAGAGCAAGGTTTTAAGAAGTAGAATCGGGTCAGGATGACATCAGGGAATCTTATACTGAGCATGTGAATGCACCCACTCATTAATTTGCATGGTCTCTGAGGAATTATGGTCACCTCAAGTTTACAGATGAGGAAAATGAGGCTCATAGATAGAAAGGGACAGGAGAAGCGCTGTGCAGTCAGACAGGTGTAGAATCCAGATCTGTGCAGTTCTGTAACCCAGATACCCACAGGCCCCAGTAGAGCCTATAGGGAGGGCAGGGAGAGGGGACTGCAGTGCTGCCTCACTTGAGGGGAAGGAGCAAATGACAGAGAGGGGTGTAGCTGCAGCTGCACAACAGCAGAACCCCAGAGAAGGAGCAGATTGCAGTGTAGCTCGCTCTTTTGAGAATTTATGGCAACCATGTGCAGGGGCTTGGGGGCTTCTGAATAGGGAAAACAAGTTGGGTCTTTGCTGGTGTTCAGAGCAGTTTTCTTCCATCACACACCTGTCCACCCATGCACCCCAGCTTGTTAGAAGTAACCAGGGAGTGGAAATTCACAGAACAGAAATGAGTGTCATCTTTCTCAGTCTGTCAGAAGAGAAGCCCCACTTTGAAGCTAGATCTCCACATACATGTGAGATGCCTGGGCAGTCATGCCCAGCAGGCAGCTGGCTCTGGTAGACCATGGTTTGGTAAGGGCAGAATCAGCCCAACAACAAAGTTCCAATTGTAGGCACAGAAGGTAAAACGCCTTGCTTGCTCTCCCAGCACAGGAAGATGGCTTGGCCTGGGAGATGTGAGAAGGTCCAGGTTTGGCTCAGTGTTTCAAGAGAGATGAGGCAGGCTTAAGCTTGCTTATACACTGGTGGGAATGTTCTCGCTGCAACGGAGGCCGCAGCCCCGAAGAAGCACAGTTAATAGATGGATGTCGCTGAGAAGTCTGGAGACGCCTAGGGTGCAGGGAAAGGCCAGGTTGGAGGTGAGGAGAGAGGACTAGGCAGAGTGCAGCAGCTGCAAACCCTCGCTTAGTGCTGCCTGGGAGTGCTCCGGGCAACGTGGGTGCACCAGAACCCCTTTAACCCACTGTGCGCACCCCCCCCCCCCCGAGCACACCTGCCATCACCAGGGCTGGAGGGGTCCTTTGATGCCCATATTGCAAATGAGGAAAAAAGAGGATTGGAGAAGTTGGGTCATGTTACCAACTTCAATTTACATCCACACCTGTTCACATAGCATACTTTTCAGTCCCATCATTTTTTGTTTTGTTACCAGTCTCTCTCTCAGCCCATAGCTCCTCCCTCACGTCCTTCCTTGGGCTTATCCAGAAAGTGGCAACCTGGCCAAGGGCAGGTTTTTTGCTCTCTACTGCCACCTGCAGGAGTAGGACTGGATATGTCTGGAGGAAACATGCTCACCTTGGCGCTGAGTTCAAGGGCTTTAAGTAGGCCCAGTGGAGCTTGATGGTCTCAGGCCTGCTCATCTTCCACTCCCTTGGGTAGCTCTCTCACCACCCCCACCGCCCTCCTGACACCCCAGTAGCATTGAGGGCCCCAGAATGCTGCAGTTTATAGCAGGAAAACCCAGTCTCTGGCCATCAGTGAAAGGCACTGAGGTCCTGAGCACTTTCTACCCAGTTCTCCAGGATCCATGAAAGAAGCGGGTTTCCCTAGGGTTTGCCAGTGACTCCCCCATGTTGATTCCCCCACTGTATTTGTTACAGTGAAATTTGAACAGGACTGTCATCCCTGCTGTGTTTTTCTAGGCCACTGGAACCACTGTGGCTGCTCTCCTGGAAGGATACAAAGGGGCGCTTCCCTGGCCTGTCTTTCACCTGCAATGGGAAGGAGATACAGAGCAGCATAAGGCTCTGGATGTGCAACCTAGCACCTTCTCCTCTGGACATGAAACCTGGGACCATTTGCTACAACTCCAGCTTCTCCTGGGACACACAGGACCATGAGAGCTACTGTTCTACCGGCATCTCCCACTTTCATCACCAGCTCTGCCAAAGGTGCACCTTGCGCCAGTGACAAATGGTGAAAATGTGACATCCTTTGAGCTGGATGCTTCCTGTGAATCTTGGTGCTCCTGCCCACACTGCTGAGAGCCACAGAGCAGGAGAGTCTAGCCAGATCCCAATCCTGTGCTTCCCAAGCCTGGTTGTGCTAATAATTTACATAGGGAACTTAAAAAACGTGAACCCATTGAAAGTTTACTTCAAGGCATCGTGTCTGTCATGTGACATTCTAGCTTATAGCTACTAAATGGCTACTGGAAATAGGAAAGCATTTCCTTCTGTGGCCACAAGTGGAGGTGGCCTTCTTATTGGTGAATATGGGGTTTTCAAAGCACAAATCTGAGTTGACTCTGGGAAGTCGAGTGTCCGCTGAACAGCTCAGCGTGCGGGTGGTTTATCTCTTTCTTAGGCCGGATTAGGCCCCAGGAAGAGTGCCTTCAAGGGAAAACAGAACAGATATTAAAACTGAAGAAGTGATGCAGGCCCATGAAATCCCCTCAGAGGAGGAGGTGGTCCTCGTGGGTAGGTGGAAGCTGGCATCTTTCTAGCATGCAGATGAGGCTTGTGTGTCTCGCTGAATGTTAGCCTGTCGGATTCTCTGGCTGTGTGCACACTGGGCAGCTGTGGGGAAACCCAAGTCTACCCCTGAACCACAGAAGATTCTAGTGCAGGAGCTGGGGGCCCTGGAATGGTGGTGGGAGGGGACAGAGACAGAGATCTTCACCCAGGAAGACTGTGTGCTGGGTGTCTCTGGGCTCTGGGAAGTGGAGTTTGGTTAGAGCTACTTTCTCTGGAGTCCCTGTGGGTGGTAGCTGGGAAGACAAGGCAGAGGGAACAGAGAAGGAGCCACCTCTTAGCACCAAAACTTTTCTTTGTGAGGTCTCAGGCCTCCAATCATGGTCTGGAGTGCTGTCCAACCATCCATTCAGTTACTAGGGTTTCCACAGGCAGGCTGTTTGGAAGCATGCTGCAGAGCTTGGGGAGTTGTGGGGGACTTGGGAGCAGAAGCAGGGGCACAGGGAGGCAGACTTACACCCCACCCTTCAGAGCCATCACCCACCCCTGAGGAGTCTCACTGGGGCTATGAATGGGCCTGGTGTTGGCATAAGGAGGGTGAGTCTAGACTTCTAAGCTAAAGGAGGCAGTGCAGAAGACGAGAACTGTCAGAATTGTGACTGGCGATGGACTGGAAGAGAGCCAGGCTTGCAACCTCCCTGGGGACACAGGACAGCAGCTGGAGATTGTGCTACAATCGGCACCACCTAGGAGTAAGCCTAGAGAAGGTGGCAGGTGCATGGATGGCTGACCGGGCTGCCCTGACCCAGACTCCCATGGTGTCTCCAACATGCCTTCGCTCTTCCTATATACTTTAGAAGCTGGAGATAAGCTAAAGTTAATGCGATTTGTGTCACGATTGGATCCATATTAGCTAAGCTACTATACTCGTAATGCTACAGGTTGATTGTAGCTCAACCCCTAGTTACACAAACTGGTTTTATGTGTAAGTGATGCCTGGTCCAACAGCCTCAGTGGCAGCCCACTTTCAGGACCCCTCCTATCTCCCAGGAGCTTTCTCTCAATGAACTTTTTGTCCTCTTCACCTCCTTTGTCCTTGTAGCCACACTTCAGACAGGAACTCAACCAACCTGACTAACAAACCAGAAGTTATTTTCCCGTCACATAATAATTGTGTTCTTGTGGGGACTTGGTGCATGTACTTAATACATCTTAAGTCTTTTTTCATCTCCTACCTGTCCCCTTTCTCCTCCTTCCATCTCTTTGTCCCCTTGTCAAGTCGTTTTTGAGCAAATGAAGTCATGCTGGGACAGTGGACTTTTAAAAGCTAACCCGACTGACATATAATTTGGTGTTAGGGTGCATACAATTTCCATTCAAAGTCAGATGGTGCTAGGCAAACACGGATGCCCATGTAATCTGCCCTACAGCTGTCACCCAAGAGCTTTCCCATGGCTGAGTCAAGTTCTCTGGCATGGACAAGGCACAGTTTATCCACTTGCCCACTGGTGTACAACGGGGCCACTTCCACATCATGGATATTATAAATAAAAAGTGCACTGAACATTCATACGGAAGTCTTTGTGCAGACATTTGCTATTGTTTTTCCTGAGGACCTTACAAGTGGAATAGCTGGGCCTTAGGATTATGTTTCGTTTTATTAGAAATGTCCCAACTGTTTTTGGAAAGTAGTGGTAGTATTTTACATTTCGGTAGCAGTCTAAAGTTATAGATTTTGTCCTTGTTATGGCCAGTTTTTCACAACTTCTGGAGAGAGAGGGAGAAAGGGGAGGGGAAGAAAGACAGATACGCTGTATAATATTTCAGGTAACAGATGTACTACTGTTTAAATGACAGTGGTCCTGTAAGATCGTAATAGAAATCTGGGTGTGGTAGTGCACACTTCTAAGCTTAGCACTTAGGAGGCTGAGGCAGGAGGTTCACCATGAGTCCAAGGCAAGTTTGGCTACATAGCAAGACCTTGCTTAAAAAAGTTGTAATGTAACTGGAAAATGTGACGCCTAGTGACATCACAGCCCTCCTCATATTATGCCATGATGTATTGCTATTGTGTTTGTGGTGTTGCTGGCGTAAACAAGCCTACTCCCTTTACAGCCATATAAAAGTACAGAAAGTACAATTATGCACAATACTTGATGATGCATGATGCTGTTACTGGTTTGTGAATTTTCTATACTGTTCTATAATTTTATCATTATTTTAGAATATGCTCTTTCTACTTAAAAATAGCCCCAGCCAGGTCTTTGGAGAAGCTTCCAGAAGAAGCTCTTGTTATTAGAAGAGGTGGCAGCTCTGTGTGTGTCACCACTCCTACAGGCCCTCTAGTGGGACAAAATATGGGGGAGAGTATTGATAGCCTTGACCCTGTGGAGACTGAGGCTAATGTGTGTGATGTTTGTATCTTACTTTTCAACACAATGTTTGAAAAGTAAATAGAAATTTAAAATGTAGGAAAAAAGTATATAGGATAAGAATACAAAGAAAGAAAATGTACAGCTGTATGTTTGGTTTTGGTCATAGCTTCTTTGCTCTGTGTGTGTGTGACGCTGGTGTTGACCCCAGGTCCTTCACACTGAGCTATGTCTCCACCTCTTTTTGAATCAATTTGAGTCAGGGTCTTGCTAAATCACTTAAATTGCCAAGGGCCCAAACTTGTGACCCACCTGTCACAGCTTCTCAGAGTCGTGCCATCATTGGCCTTTGCATCATATCTGGTCTCACTTTGTGTTTTACACTGTTATTACAAGAACCAAAGAGTTTTTTTTTTAACATGTAAAGGTTTATAAAGTTAAAAAAATTAAGCTAAAATTAATTTATAATTGAAGAAAAAAATTTAAACAAGGTCAGCAAGTGGATAGTTGTGTCCTTGACCTTCACCTTGACCTTCACATTCACTGGCCACTCAGTCATGGACTCACCTGGGGCAGCTCCACCCTGGAAGCTCCATCCACATGATGGTCCACAATGGACTCTGCTTCTCAGCTTCGACCCCAGGCTTCCCTGTCCTGTGTCTATGGTTAGGAGTGTTCAGTGCCCACGCATGCATCACTATGCACAGCTGCCCACAATGTCGGTGAAGGGACACACTGCGGAGCTCTGGACTGGGCATGCCAGGCTGCATCTGAGGCCTCGGTGTCTGTGTGTGGCAGAGTGCCAACCAGTAAGGTTCACTCAACACAATCCCATGTTTCTTAGCATGTATTCCATCAAGTGACCCATGACTATTCGTTTAGTATGTACATAGCACATAAATGATGTTTGTATTATATGTACATAATACATACAAATTGTGCACACACTAAGTACACTTGCATACATAAATGCAGCTCTCAATTTGTGCAGTTTCAATGTGCACACATTTCTATTGTTATTGAGTATATAAACAACACCAGGGAGGCAAATAATTCCAAAATGCAGTTCAAATTTCAATTATAGAATCTCTAGGGCCAGGGAGATAGCTCAGTGGTATAAGCTCCTGCCTGGCAAGAGTAAGGAGTCATGAGTTTGATCCCCAGTACCAAATAAATAAATAAATACATACATAAAAGTTCTGCTAACCACAGGTGGTTGCACCAAGTGCTAATGTTGCTGCTGGCTCCTCAGGCCACAAATCATAAGTGACAGGCCCGTAGGTGACACAGATGAGAAGTCACAAGATGATCAAGGGCCAATCACATTGCTTCTGTCTAAATCTCTTCAGTAAACAGATCTACAGTTCAGAGATGTGGGTTTGTATAATGCATCAATTGGTCCTGAGTAAAAATTGGGATATTCAGCATTCATATGAGTTTTGGAGAAATATGTGCATCTTGAAAATTTATGATATTTTTCTATGTCTCTTCAATAAAATAATGCACATGTGAAAAAAAGTCCATGATTGATCATGGGCTCATACATGTTTTTCAGTTCACAGACAGGAAGCCGTCACCTAGTGACTAAACCTACGTGACATTTATAACTGATCATAAGACAGAATTGGTCTACAAAGATGCAAGTGAAGCAGAGGAATGAACAATGACAGTGTTAGGGGTATAGCTTAGTGGTAGAGCCCTTGCCCGGCATGCACATGACCCTGGGTTTCATCTTCAGTGGGGGGGGGAGGGGAATTTTGAAGGGAGGTTGGAAGGGGAAGAAGAGGGGAACAGAGGAGATAGGGTAGGACAGGGCAGCGCATCTTCCTAGGACCCAGTTGGCCCATGTTATTCCCAAGCTGAACCCCACCACCCCCAGGCTAAAACCCAGAACATTTATTTCATAAAAGGCCCTGTTTCCTCTGACTGGATGTAGTACCCTTGCACTCCCATCAGTCACCCCAGTGGCACCTCCCATGGCTTCCCAGTATTAGGGGCCTCACTGGTGCCCATGACGTATGCTGATCTTTTGGCTTGGAATTTGCCTCGCCATTCATGGGCCAGTGAAATGCAACCAGTCTCCCACCTGGCTTCATCCCCAGGAAGTCCTAGACAGGGCTCTTCTCACTTTCTCTCTCCCTCCTCTGGCTGCCTGGAAGACACCGTCCCTAAATTTAGCACGTACACAGCTGGGACTGTTGTCCAGCTCATTTCTACAGGTCAGCCTGCAATACTTGCACCCTGGAGAAGAGAAGGAAACACTTCTGTTCCTCCAGGAGCTGGAAAATGGGAGCAAAGGAGCAAGGCCAAGTGATCCTAAAAGCCTTCACAGTGTTTGTGCTTTGGTTTTGTGGTACTAGGAATTGAGTCCGGCACTCTCCACCTCTGAACTATACCTCTGTCCCTTTTTATTTTTTATTTTGAGACAAGGTCTCACTGAATGCCAAGATTGTGTCAGCTTTTCACATAGCTGGGATTAAAGGCATGTTCCACTATGACTGGTGGCTTCCCAGGCTTGAGACATGTAGTGTTGTTCATCAGTGTTTCCCATCAACTCCTGGCTTGCCAGAGTCATTCAAGAAACTAAATAGCTAGCCCTGCGCCCCACATGAGGGAGATAGTGCCACTGGCTTCGCGCGTGGCTCACATACCTGTAAGGCCAGGTGCGGTGGTATGTAGTGATAGTCCCAGTGACCTGGGACCCTGAGGCAGGAGGGTTATGTGAGCCCGAGAGTTCAAGGTCCCGGGAGTTTAAAGCCAGCTTGGGTAGCATGGCCAGACTTTGTTTCAAAACAAACAAAAGTTCCCCCAGATGAATCTAAAATACAGATAGGATTGGGAGGGGGAGACCAACTGAGTAAAGTCACGTGATTTTGTTGGCACAATGGTGTGCATCTGTAATCCTAGTTATGCACTTAGGAAGCTGAGGGAGGAGGGTACTGAGTTTGAAGCCAGCCTGGGCCGCATAGTGAAACCCCTGCTTCAAGCAAAACGAAGAGCTGATTTTTTTTTTCTCTTTTTTGTATTTAGTACAGGGTCTACAGGGTCTCACTACACAGGTTGGACTTGTAGCGATTCTCCTGTTTTCAGCCTCCCAAGTGCTGGGATTACAGGCATACATGCCACCATGCACAGTCTCAGCATGCCATCTCAGGGCACCCCAGGGGCGGGGCCGACACAGCAGGCCAGGGATTGAACCTCTGACCCCTGCATCTGCCTAAGCAGGTGCTTTAATCCACTGAACTGTCTGGCCAGCCCTCAAGAGCTGATTTTTAGACAAAGCTGTGGCTTTGTGCTGCCTCCTGGTGGTTCGATCTCTCAATTCAGGCAGATTTCCCCAGTTCATGTGTTTCAAGCTGGGTCAGAAAAAATGTGACAAAGAAAAAAATGAGGCCGAGTGATAGGTTCCAGCCCGAGTACAGACTCCTAAATTATCATGGCCCTGATCCAACACGGCTGAATCCCCAAAATACCAGTTTACCTTCCCAGTGACCTCTTCCTCCTCCTTCCCCGCTCCAGCTCTGGGTACAACTTCCTCTTACCTTTCCAGCGCACACACGGGAGTCCCAATTAGCTCCTTAGACATCACTGAACCTGCCCCTCAAACTCCGCCCCTAACACAAGTCCATAAAGTCTCGGCCTCCCTGTCTCAGGTCAGAGGATCTGCCTGTATCTCTGTTCTCGATCCTCTCCCTGTCTTCAGAGTTAATAAAGGTCCGCCCTCCCTTTTATTTCTGCTACTCTGCTGCGTCGCCACCCCACTGCTGCCCCCGCTGGCACCAATAAAATCTAACATCGTGCAGGAACTCTGGTGACCCGTTGTCTCCCGTACTTGGGGAGTGGAGTCAGGAGGCTTGGTGGAGGCCAGGGACTTGGGACAGGCCTCCAAATTGGTAGGATCACAGGTGTCGCCCCTCCCCACCTTCAGAGCTTCCCCCAGCTGTGTCCCACCCGCCTTCCTCCCTGGATGTCACTTAAGCCAAGGTGACCAGGGTGTCATGGGCTCCTTACTCCCTTGTGGCATATTCCACCAAGGAAATTCATCCCATCATTCCAAGGCTTATTCTGTAGGACTATTGAGTGTTCTCAGCAGAATGTCTGAATGAATATTTATCTTATGGAACGACCATGGACTTGTCACAATCCCTTTTTGATACTGTCTCCAGTAGAATTCCCCACAAAAGTTTTAATTATTAAAAGAAAACTTCAGTTATTTTGATTATGGAAGGAAGTCAGAGAAAACTTTACAAACTCTACAAAATGAAAATGAAAAACATAAAACCATCTGCTAGTCATTATCTTGGAGGGACTTTGAGGATCTTGTGACACTTTTTTTGGACTTGTATTTAGTTTATGTAATGACAGCACACTTCACAGAGAGGTGAGAATAGTGTATATTTCATTTCTAATGTTTTTAAATGTCATGTGCTGGTGCTATCTCTCCCTGTCTGTCAGTTATTCCTATCATGTTTTTAGCAGCTCTTTGTTTATTTGATATGCTGGAGAATTATAGGTGCTTATTATTTTAAAAGCCAGTTAACATGGGAAATTATTTAAAACGATGCATACCCGAACCCTTTATCTTAAATCCAAACCAATGTGTTTCCACTCTGGAATCTGTGGGCTTTCTTGGCGAGCAGGGCCACTTAACTTGTTTCTTGCATAAATCATATCCAGAATATCCTGTCCTGATTTTTGCAGCCTGAGAAAGGAACAGAACACACACACACACACACACACACACACACGCGCGCGCACGCATGCATGCACGCACGCACACTGCCCCGCATGTGTCCATCTCCTCGTGTTGGTGTCTCCAAGCTTTTGACAACAAAGACAACCGGTGTAAAGCAGCAATTGCAGTGACTGTGGCTGAGTCGTGGATGGCATGTGTTGAGCTTGTCGGTGCC